AGCACTGCCATGGTTCTGGACCTGGAAAGCATGCCAATAGTGATATGTCCAGTCAGAGCTGGGAGGCACAAAAGACAGGATCCAATACCCAGAGGGCACTTCCAGGTGTGCCCTGCAGAGACATGACCCTGTAAGACACATTGAGATCCACAAACAGGCTGACTGGGATACCCTGGGGGCAAGTATGAAGCTGAACAAACAAGTAGGCTGCTGGGTGAATATCCAGGATCTGGGATTTCAGTATGACACTACTCGCAGCTGCTGCTAAAAGAATATTTGGATTCAAAGACTTTATTCAGCAGAGATAGAGAGAGAGATGTTTATTTGCTCAGGACACTCACATAAACAGGGTTCACCGAGTATATGCAGAGGTATAGCTGCTAGATGAAGCCGTGCCTTTGTTTTTTTCTAGTGTCCAACCTACTAAAGACTGGAGTTATACTCCGCTGTTGAAGACTGGGAGAAAATGATTCTCCGTAAATGATCCATAGTCTTTGATACAAAGACAACAATTAGTCCTTGGAGTACTGAAAACAACCACAGAAAAAGGTCTAGTTTTTGTAAAAAGAAAAAGATCCTTAGGATTAGAATGGTTTTGTGTAAAGCAAATTCAATAAAACTGTAAACCTGTTACTAACTAAATTTTAACAATGGTAACAATCTTGCCGAGATGGATAAATGAAGAATAACAGAAGGGCTACAATATGTATCCTGGAGAAATTGCTACTGATCTTACCTCCTGTACCAACCATGTGACAAAAAGCCAAGGCATCTAGTTGTAATATTAGAAATAAGTTAAAAGAGTTCCAAGTATCCCACTGTTAACTGTATTTGCAATTAAAAAAGACCTGTATTTTAATCATGTGTAAGGGGTATAAAAAAACGAAATATAAAGCTTCTCCAGACTATACACGTGTCAGAAATCCCAACACCTAAACACCAATATATTTTTAAAAATGCTAAAGTATTTACATAAACATTCCATTCTATCCAATTACCTCATTGATGAACCTATGGTAGTAATAAACCTTAAGGTACCAGGACTTGTGAAGTCACCACCCAGCGTTTTTCATTCTGTCTTCCTGGGCCATGTGCCTAAGCTTGGCCCACAGGAAACTACACATCTCATCATGCATTGAGATGTTAGTTCCTCGTTTTCCATTACCTGGGCAAGTCTGTAGGTGGTGTGCGGGTCTGTGATTTTAGTGGGGACCAATCCAGTGCTCTGTCACTGCCCTACTACATGCACAGCACAATCAGTGTAAACCACTCTGACGAGATTACATCAGCCAAAGAGCCCTGGAACTACACAGGAGCGGAGATGGGACCACTGATTTGGCTAGAAAGTTTCTTCTTAAAAGGAGATTTATGGGGTGACACTGAAGCTGTCACAGGTCGGCTCTATTGATCGGGAAGTCAGCTAACACATAACACGGATCGCAGATTTCCCGATCCTCTCCCTGCAGAGAGCGGTGACAATCAGTCACCGCCCCTGCAGGGATTCACCTCCTCCCCTTCTGTTTCTCCAGTGCTGACTGAGGGAACGGACAGGGGAGGGGGCAGGGTTAGCTGGCTCTGCCTTTAGAGAGGCAGAGCCAGCTGTCAATTAGCCAGTGGGGTGGATCTCGACAGTATTGAATGTCCTCCCATGACCCTGAAAACAACTACCGTGTTTTCCCGAAAGTAAGACCTACTCCGATAGTAAGACCTAGCGCTATCTTCAGTGATTTCTGTAATATAAGACCTCCCCCGAAAATAAGACCTAGTGTCTTTTTTCGTGCAAAAAAGAAAATAAGACAGGGTCTTATTTTCGGGGAAACACGATATATATATATATATCGTGTTTCCCCGAAAGTAAGACCTAGCGGATTTCTGCAATATAAGACCTACCCTGAAAATAAGACCTAGTGTCTTTTTTCGTGCAAAAAAGAAAATAAGACAGGGTCTTATTTTCGGGGAAACACGATATATATATATATATCGTGTTTCCCCGAAAGTAAGACCTAGCGGATTTCTGCAATATAAGACCTACCCTGAAAATAAGACCTAGTGTCTTTTTTCGTGCAAAAAAGAAAATAAGACAGTGTCTTATTTTCGGGGAAACACGGTATGGGCAAAAAAAGGTTGCCTCATAGTTCTCCTTTAAAGGTAAATGCACATGTGCCTACAATAATTGAAAAGATAGATTTTGCCTGGAGGGGGGCTTTAAAACCAACGACTACCTAGATAACTAGATTTGAATTTATGAACTTTTTTTAAGAAAAAACTTTTAACTTTACAGTACATTGAACTTTAAAAAATAATGCTATAATTTTCTGATGCAAACTGAATACAATAGAAATGGAGCTCTTAGACTTAGTAGTGGAATTATAAAAAAGTAATGGTCAATGGTGAACACATATGTTTATTCATGCAACCAGCCATCATCCTTTTACCCCAATAAGAATTATCCCTATTGGTAATTTTTTGTGCATATGCCGTAAGTGGTCAGACAGAAAAGAATATGAAAAGGATGCAAAAGAATTAAAAGTGAGATTTAAAAAAAAAAAAAAAGAGAGGGATTAAGATTGGACTTTGGAGATATGTATGCATGATAAACTATGTGGGATAAACCATATGAATAAAAAATTGTATACGCCACATATGAAGATAAACTTTGCAATCTTTTAAGCCTAGTTGGGATAGTACCTTGCCATTGATTAGAGATACATCCCAGTAACAAATACGATTGAATGTATATTAACAATTTAAAACTTAAAATTACTATTATCAGTGTAGTAATAAGAAATACAAAGAAGTTGTAAAGAACAAATAAAAGCAGATATGTTATTTGAAACATATGAGATATTTAGGTATTTTATTATGCTGGCATAATATTCTTTATTATGCTGGCATAAATTCTCAAAAAACAATAAAATGGATAATATACCTTATTTTGTAATATCCATTGATAGCATCCATAGGAAGTAAATCATATACTGTATAACAAATTGGTATATTAATATAATTGCTATATTAATTGTTATATTAAAGTGACATTAAACCCTCAGATTTTTTAACATAAAACAAAACTGTAATGTGTGCCTTACTGCAATCCATGGTAGTTTCCCTTCTCTTTGCTGCTCTTCCTTTTAAATCTGTATCTCTTCTCATGCTGGGCAGAACTTCTGTTTTGCAGCAGACTGCCTTGTCTCTGGAATGGATACATGGTGTCTGTGTGCAGGTTCACAACCTGAGCCAGCACTACAGGAAGAGGCACTCAGCTGCAAATGGAAGTTCTCCCCCAGTATGAGAAGAGATAAGGATTTAAAAGGAAGAGCAGCAAAGAGAAGGGAAACTGCCATGGATTACAGTAAGGCACACATTACAGTATTGGTTTATGTTAAAAAATCTGAGGGTTTAATGTCACTTTAATATGTTGTGGATCATATATAACAAGTTAAGATAAGGCAAAGTGAAGTTAAATTAAGCGAAGACACCATATATGAAAAGGATCTGGGCTGAAGGGTGTTTTATCAATAGAGGTAAACATATATTGTTGGCCATGTAGGCAGTCAGTGGTTTCTATATTGGTGTTTAGCTATTGGTATTACTGGCACATATATAGTCCGGGAAAGCCATGTATGAAAATTATCATGTCCCTTACTTATGATTAAAATACAGTTTAATATAATCCTTTTGCAAATTTAGTTAACAGTGGATTACTTGGGTCCCTACTTCTTAAAAAGAAAATTAGTGTTGAGATTGGCTGATCCTGCCATTCAGCTATTATCAAATGATGAAAGGCCAAGGCTTTTAATCATGTGATCAGTGCTGGATGATGCAGAATTCTCTCCAAGAAAGGTTAGTATTTCAGTGCTTATGTGACCAATAATCTCCAAAATGATTAAGATAGAATTATATAGGTCTAAGTTAAGGTTCCATTCACACTTTAGGGTTTAAAATACAGGCATATCAACATACATGCTTAAATGCATTTTGAAGTGTTTTTCATGTGCTTAAGATAATGTTTCATGTTTTATATACGTTTAATAGCATTGTGTTAAAATGGGTAGACACCCAACAACACACCAAAGATATTAAAAGCACTTAGATGTATGTTTTCACCAAGATTTACACATTTTCCTAATCAAATCTGTGTGAATCTTGGGTGAAAGATGTGTAAATCTTGGTGAAAACACATGTAAGGGCTTTTAATACCTTAATCTTGGGTAAAGGTTGTATAAATCTTGATAAATAAACCCCTAAAAATTGCAGTACAAAAAACCTTTTTGACAAAATAAAAAGCTGGTTTAGTGATCTTTTCAAATGCTAGTTGTAATTAAAAACAACTCCAGGTAAAAATCTGAACAACCCATGCAGTGGTGGGGCTACCCCTCACTGCAAGGGTTAAGTGCTAGTTTATGCCTAGGGTCAAAAACATCAAAACCCAATCTTGCAAGCCGGACGGCTGTGGCCGTGCTCCCTCCTGCCTGTCTCCTCCTCTGGGGCAACAATAGTATGTTCCTCGGCATCCTTACATGCTATACACTGTGTATAGAATGTGAAACCTCAGGGACTTTGGACTGCTGCAGCGAAAAGGGAGAGAGGCTCCAGGGATCGGACTAAGAACAAGCCACCTTGGAGGATCAGGTGAGTATAACTTTATTTTTGACCCTAGGAAAAAACAAGCACTTAAAAGTGACACTATACTCAGGCGTTAAATCCTAGAAATGCATTCAAGTACCCTAACTATTAACAAAATGTAGCTTCTTTGTGTATAACTCAGCTGTAGATCCTCAAATCATCTCTGAATATGTACTGACGCTGTCCTTCCTTCTGGAGGGTGGCTACTTTTGTCCCCCATGGTCCCTGTGTGTGTTGTAAAGTAGCCGCGCTACTACATTAACCCTTGCAGTGTGGGGGTAGTCCCACTGCAAGTGTTGATACAATTTTTACCTGCTTTAACTATTAGTTTCCTGTGTAGTAAAATAATATTTCCAAATAACTAAAGAGTTCACCTTGAGTAGGTGGATGAGGGTCGCCCTCGTAGCTGGTCTATCTCTAACTGCATGCGTTCAATTTCAGCCATTAGCTGCTCCTAGAGGAGAAAAACAAAGTGTTTAATGCAACAATTCAATATTTGATGAAGACAGGCCGTACTCTTTACTAAGGAAAACAGTTGACATGAGACATACATAAAAAGACAACAATAAAAAAAACTGTCAGGGAAATTAAAATATAACTGAACAATATTTAAAATTAACTTATCTCCCACATGGAGGAGACAAAAATCTGTAAGATTTTAATAACTATTCCCCTACTCAAATATACTGTATAATAGTACTCACGATTTTAGAACAATTAGCTCTAGCCATTTGTGAACTGCCTGACATACATACACATACAGGGTGCTGTTTCAAGGTGCCCTTGAATGGAAGCTATAAAGCTTCTGAGAAAAAAATCATAAGCTTTTAAAATAATATATTGACACAAGGCAAGACATTTGGGGGATCATAAAATAAAATATGAAGGACAGCGTCCAGCACACATTGAGAAAAGGAACACAAAGAATCGTTTTTCCTACCAATGTTTGTTCTTTAAAAATTAACAAAATGGTATTTTCTCACAGGGGGGACATATTCTTTTCTCATAAAAACAAAAATAACTTGTCAGGAAGATTTAACGTTCTCTTAGTGCCCTTTCACACAGGCATTCTGATCAAGTCAAGTCTCCCTGTCAGGCAGATCTAATCAGGAGCCCAGTGTTAGTCTATAGGCAGCCAGATCTAAACAGACGGGCGTTAATTTACATCTGATTACCCTCGTCCCTAGCCAGGTCCGGAAAACCACATGTCTGACTCCCCATAGACCAATATGGGTCTGGTCTTTTGTGATGGAGGAGAAAAACTGGACAGACACAGGTATCACAACGGTGACATCCATTTCAAACTGCTTCGATCAGCAGGGGATCCGTGCATGGGTCCCCTGCTGATCAGAACTGACGGTGATCATGTGAAAGGGGCCTTACTCCCATCTTCAAAACTCTCACAGATCTGCATTTGCTTAGGCTGTCACGCACTGCCCCATAGACATTAGAGCATTGCTCTGGCAGAAAATGACCAGACTGGGAAATTCGTAATCTAATGTCTATGAACATCATAAATCAGTTGTGATATATGATACAAAAGCTAAAGTAAAAAACTGGATAGTTTCCAAAACTATCAGACTGCAGTTTGTTACCAAGACAACTGCATACATAATTAGAAAAGCTTCAAAATTGCAATCTGAAAAACAAAGGTAGGTCCCAACATCAAGAAATTGTTGCTTTTTGGAAATGCTAAAATAGAAAGAGACTTTTGTTATTGTTAAATTGATAGAAAAACTGCACTATAATAATGTGCCCCCTGATAAAGAAGGCAGTTTAACTCTTCTCACCTGCTGCCTGCAATGCCAGTCTCTGCAGTAGTGAAGAGAAACCACCAGCTGAAGGTTCAAAAGAATCCAACACTTTGAATGGAAGAAGAGACACCAGCACTTGATTGAAGATCAAAGAACATGTGTTTATTCTTCAGACATCACATAAGACAAATGTTGCCAGTGTTTCAGGGCCTTGCAGGGTCCCTCCCTCAAGGCAGTACAGTCACCAATGACTTAACTGTATTGCCTTGAGGAAGAGACCCTGAGAGGCTCCATAATGTTGGCAATATTTGTCTTATGTGACATTTCAAGAATAAAACACAAATATTTATTTTCTACAAATCCAGTGCTTTTTTTTCCTATTGTGGTATTGCATGGCACCATCTGTTGCTGTCACTACTAGCACCATGTTATTACACCAGTCACAACACTGGAGCTTAGAATCATACTATTTCAACACTTTCAGGACATAAATGCCCTTGTTACCCTATGCATGTTGTGGTTCCTCCCACTAGCCCTCACATCACGACAGGACACAGCCTGAGTAGGGGCCTGCGGATTTACAGCCAGTGGTTCATCCTTAATACTGCAGAGCTTAGCAGCAGCTGCACAAGAGGTAAGTATTAAACTGTATTACAGTAAATCTAAAGTTAACTGTAGAGCCTTTTTCCTCTAAAACACCTAAAAAAAACAAAAAACAGATGTTCCATGCCATTGAAGGAATGTTTAAGGAATACCTATTAACACCTGCCCTGTTGGTGGCAATGTCATACACCTCCAAGGTGTATATGAAAGTAATGTCATGGCCTTAACAATCATTTTAGACAGTGTTTAGTTACATGTTGTGCCTGTGTATGCTTCCATACAAACCTTGCCCAGAAGAAGCTCATCCTGAAGCTTTTTCATGTTAGCTATCTCTTCTGATAAAGTGTTCTGACATAAAAGAAGTAAGCAAATGCAAGAGAAGAGAAAACAAGTTTAGATGCAAGTTGGAGAGAGAGCCGATGAAGAGACACTGTCTCAAGAAATCCAAGTAAAGTCTTAGCTGGTTAGAAAACAGTAGCAAACAATAAAAGAAACTAAAGACAGACTATTACATTTATTACAGTATTGTATTTTAAATATTAAGCCCTCTGAAAAAATAAATAAGGGTACCAACTCTTAAAAGATGTACGGTATATTAAAAGCTGTACCATAAACTAGAGGTTGCTTGGCTGTCTTGGTGACCCTCTGGCTTTAATGTGTTAAGTGACAGTCCTAGAAAAAGTATGGAAATCAGGTGTTCTGACTATACTCTGCCTTCACTTGCTGCATTCTTGTTCAAAGTAATTTTTAAAACATGAGACAGCCAGACAACTAGCTTTTTTTTAGAATAGGACACTGTGCTGCCTTGAGAATGGGCCCCAAAATGTTGATATATTTGACCTATGTGATGTTATTTGCAATAAATTATACTTTCTTTGCATATTTGAGTGCTGGTGACCTATCTTTACATCTCTGAGGTTCTGCACGGCACTATCAGTGGCAGTCATTTTGAGCACCTACCTTATTTACATCAGTTACAATGCTGTATGGTGTGCAGCAGGCACCTTCAACAATTTAAATCCAAAACAAATATACCTTAAATGGAGGAAATGCTGTTCCAGGCCAGACTTTTGATCATATGACTCGTGTAAGAGGGAGCCTGGAGCAGCATTTTCTCCAGGAAATGTGAGTAAGCATTTTAGCCCTTCCATTGCTTTTTCCAAACTCGACCAGACTGTTAACATAGCATTTTTTTAAATATTTAAGTTATGATTTTATATTGTGTCAAACACAAATACATAGCTAAAAGAATGTAAAAATGGACATGTCTTCCTATATTACTAAATACTGACTTTGGTGTATATGAACCATGTGTGGAACAGTTGTATTAGCATATTGTTTTAATTTGCTACTTTTATGATTGATGCTGTATTTGACAAACTGAATTATATATTGTATTGCATGAATATTTTGAAACTCACACATACATTCACAATGTGCAAACTGACATTATAGAACAAAATATACAATGATGGGAATTTATCAAAACTGGAGCAGACAAAATCTGGAGCAGCTGTGTATGGCAACCAGTCAGCTTCTATCTTTCTTTTTCAAATCTTAAAGGAGAACTATGGGGTCAGTGTTTTTCCCCATAGTTCTCCTTAGGGAACCCTATGTATTCCTTTCCCTCTCTGTTGTTTAAATATAGTAAGCCTGCACACACCCCTGATGAAGAAGGAGATACCCTCATAATGCAAAGGGGATAGGACAGTGGGAGCACAACAGTTGTCATAGAAGGGACCATAACCTAGCTAACTCAGTTTTGTATGCTGTCCTTAGGCAGATGTGTACTATTGGGGAGTCTGTTGCTTTGAATGCTTTTTATCTTATATGCTTGTAAATAGTTTTTAACATTTTAAATAAAGGTGCTCTGATTTATTGTTCATATAGAAGTGGTCTGCCAACCACCCAGCGCAAGGGCAAAAGAAGAAGCAGGGTGTGTGAGAGATGTAGCACATGGAAGCAACATGCTGGGGAGAGTGGCCTGAAAGTGAGTGGCCTGGAACACAGAAGCAGAGGATTGGACTGAGAATGAGACTGTCCACAATGGGGATATGGGACTGTAGCTAGAGTTTCAGGTTTGATAGTAGGTATTGCTCACGTTCTCTCCCAGAGGATGGTATGCGGAGACTTTGGCTGTATGAACGAGACTGGCTTGTAAATACTGCCAATCCTTTGGTGGAGATTGCCGTTTACCCAGTAGGAAAAGCTTTGTATGTGAATAGTACTAGCACAGTGCAGGATCTTTTTGCTGTGTTCCTAGCTGCAATCTATATACTATACTGTGGTGAGATAGATATATGACTCTTCATTAGATGAGAAAAAGAGATTCTCTGGAATAAATTGTGGAGATTGCACATATTTATCATCTGAATTACCTTATTAATTGTATGCGGTTAAGCTGAAATCTGGGAATCTGTGTACAGGGTTACTATATTTGAACAATACAGAATGAAAGTAGCGTGAAAAATATCTGGTTCTATTATTTTATATAGTAGACTCTTTTAAGTGGTCATTTGCATCTGGTGTTCCACCTTAAAGTGATACTAAACTCAGGAGTAAAATCTTAAAAATGCATTCAAGTACCCAATTAACAAAAATGTAGCCTATTTGTGCAATCCTCAAATCATCTCTGAATTCATACTGATACTGATTCATACTGTCCTTCCTTCTGGAGGGGGGCTACTTTTGTTCCCCATGGTCCCTGTGTGTGTTGTAAAGTTCCATTTTTGTTCATAGTTAGGGTACTTGAAGGCATTTTTAAGATATAACTCCTGAGTTTAGTGTCACTTTAAGCTTAAAGTGTTTGATCGGTGTTAGAGATTCTTTCTAAATTATGCTTAACACTGTAACTGTTTGAGATTTTTTTAATGCAATAATCTTTTTATGAGGTACAAAAGATTGTCCCTGTCCTTGAGGAAACCTATTTTCTCACCACTATACCCTAACATTTGAGTACAGGTCTGCTTTAAAGAGTAGCCAAATTTTAACATATATATGCAGAGGAAATGTATGCATTGGAATTGTTTACCTACCAAAAGGAACTGTAAGTTTGCGAAGAGGCTCTTCTCATACTCACCCCTGCTGGTGGACAGCATAAGCAGGATAACAATATATTTTTAAATCTACAATTCTCCGGTCTGCCACACTACCCCACCTTTTGTCTGCTAATTGAAATGCTTTAGAACAGTGATGGCGAACCTTGGCACTCCAGCTGTGCCAAAACTACAAATCCCAACATACATCTGCCTCTGGGAGCTATGTCTGTGGCTGTCAGAGCCTTGCAATGCCTCATGGGACTTGTAGTTCCAAAACAGCTGGAGTGCCAAGGTTCGCCACCACTGCTTTAGAATATCATCCCCCAAAGGTCTCTCCTTCCTGTAAACACACTGAAGTACCTCCTTTCACCCATCAGCTAAGAGTGCAGGCTATGCCACTGCAAGCATAAAGGAGAAATATGGGGAGAGTGAAATATAATCACTCCCATATTTAGAACCGACTTGTGACACTGCAGCTGTCACACTTCAGCTCTATTGATCAAGAACTGAGAGATCAAATACCGCCAATCACATCCTGATTTTCTCCCTGCAAGGAGCGGTGACTGTCAGTCACCACTCCCTGCATGGATTCCCCCCTCCCCTCTCCGTTCTTCCAGTGCTGACTAAAGGGATGTGCGGGGGAGTGGCGGGCACAGCTTTAGAGAGGCAGAGCCAGCTGTCAATAATGCAGCAGAGTGGATCCCGACAATATTCTCGGGATCCGTCCTGGTTTCAGCGCAGTCAGAATATAGCGGAGAATAGCTTGCTATATGCTGAGTTTTGGGTGACAGGAGGACATTAGTAAATGTCTCCCTGTGACCCTAAAGAAAACTATGGCAAAAAAAGGTTGGGCCATAATTATCTTTTAATGTCAACATTCGGCTGTCTTATGGCAGCTTGGTATAAAAAAGAAAAAAGAAAGATTTCAGCAAGAAGCAAGAGCTTAGCCAAAACATAATTTAATTTAATGAAGAAATACATAACAACTATTGCAGCTGAACTTAGCTGAACTATTTGTCAAGAGATGGTTTCTGACAGTAGTAGTCTCTTAGAAACCTCATTGTCAAGGTTATGTGCAAATTGTTTTGATCTAGAGAACAAAACACAGTTATGGCAATGATCAGTCCCTTAGTGGATCAGACATGTACCTTCTCTTCCAGGGCTCCCATTCTCTCCTTAAGATGCAACTGCAACCTCTCGTTTGATTCAGACAGGAGTTTATCGACTGTTTCCGATAGACGCTTGTTGTGCTCATCGTTCATTCTTTCCCTTTGACGGGCCTATAGAAGACATCATCAGGCACATGTAAAAGACTTAAAACCAATATGACTTCTAATAGGAAATCTGATTGGAAAATTGTAGTACTGCAGGCACAATTTGCTGTCTAGTTTTGGGTATAGTCACCAAGGGTTTGAACTTAGTTTCAGTGGCAACTGTGCAAGTTAAAAACTCCTTTCGCTGGGGAGATTTATTTTTCACTTACCATTGAGTCTCTAGGACAAAAAGTAGTAAGAAATCCCACAAAGGAAACATAGGAAGCAATAAAAAAGGTTCTAGCTTTTCTCCATATTATCCAAGACTTTACCACCAGGTTAGCCGCATACCTCAAACAAGCATGTGTATGTTAGGTGCCCCAAAACTTCACAGGATGCTTGCTTGCTTTAGATCAGCAACTCACTAAACTAGTGAAGCCAGGGTGAGAATGACAGAACTGGAGCCTGCACCTTCAAAAACAAGTCAGCATTGGTGGCTCATATAATTCTGACAGATTCCCATTTAATGCAAACAAGCTTAGTACGTTGTATTTTTAATAAAAGGTTTAATGAATATTATGCAATGTTACATGTACTTAGGGCAGCTGTATTTGCCAATTATATTTACATGATTTATTTAGCAGAACAAATGAAGTCCATAATGATTTACTGAAGAGAATGCAAACCTCAGGTGGCTCATCATTTGTTCAGATGCTGACTGCAATGCCTAGCACACATACACATAGCCAATTAATCAATAGAAATATGACTGCATGGTATAGCAAGCAATAAAAGGGTACAAACCTCATCAATTATTGGTTTCAGATCAGCTCTGCAATAACTTAAAATATGAATTTATGAGTAGACTGTCTGTCTTACTTTGTATTTTGATTCTTTTTTTAATACTTTAGTTTTCCGCAAAGTGTATATAACACCTCAAAGTACAGTCATCAGTTAATACCAAAAATAGAGCAGTAAGAATCGTTTTACACATACCAAAAAATGAGACAAGGAGAACTACCATAAAGATACCATTATAAATAATGAAAAGGATATATAGAAAACACTGTGAAAAGGAACCAAAACACCCATAAAGGAATTTTTTTTAAAGATTTTTAGGACCCATTGCCCTTTGTGAGTTTACCTGTTTATCATTACCAGACCATGACCAAAAACTTTGTGCAGATGGTTTTGTTTCATTTTAGGAGTATTGGGTGTAATGCTAAGGGGGGAGGAATAATAGTGTGAGAGAAAAGAGGTGGGGGAGAAGGGGTCACTTTGGTAGGGAGGGGAGAGATGGTGAAAGGGGAGCAGGGAGATGGAGAAAGAAGGTTGGGGGCAGAGAGGAGGCAGTCTCACTTCAGTCCTCCTCCAGGAGTTAGAAAGACAGGGGACAAGCATCAGACTTCCCCACGGGCCATTCCACCATTGGTGTGATTAAGCTGTAAAAACAGATTGCTTGGTACCATGGTGTATTCTTGGGCGAACGTTAATTGTATCCAGTAAAACCCCATCTGCCTAAAGGCATCTGGTTTGTTTTTAAGTGCTAAAGTTAAGTCTTCCATGTATTGTTGTTTATCCGGATAAGCCAGTGGGCAAGTTTGGGAGGGGAATACAGACTTTGGCTGCATTGAGAAGATGGAAAAGTAGAGACTTTTTGTATCTAGATTTTGGGATTGGCGCAAGGTAAAACAGATAAGCCGTCGGGTTGTGGATAAGATCAATATTTGTGAGTTTGAAAATTACCTGGGTGACCCATATCTAGAACTGCTGATTTTTGTCCCAAATAATGGGTAAAAGAGAGCCCTTGGTTGCCCTATGTCTCCAGCTTGTGTCCTTGGTGCCTGGGTAAATACGAGGGGTTCTTTAACACCTCATAATTTTTCATGGTTATAAGGAGGGGTGATGGTAAAAGTGAATAATATGGTCCTTTTGTTTTGGGGAGAAGGTGGTGTTAAAGTCCCTCTCTCATTTCTGTAGGTAGGAGTTACATGATAGTTTGCAGTTTGCCAAGAGTAATTGGTAGGACACAGAAAGCATACCTGGTTAAGTGCAGTTCTCCTAAAAGGGATAAGTGAAGTCAAAATAACTTGTAATCCGGTAACAAATGTAGGAAATGCAAAAGCTGGCTGCACCTCCAGAAAACCAATTCTACTGCATACGAGTCCGATTGTGGAGGGTCAAGCAACTGTGCGCCTGATGAGGAAGAGAAGCATGCCGCCCTAAATCCTTTGCATACCACCCTGGAGTTAAAGTCAGTACTGGACTGGCCTTGATATCCTGTTTTAGGGGTTGCTCCTTTCCCTATGGTGTCGCCCTTGTGTGTGCTAGTAAGCTGTGTGTGTGTCCAGAATCACAGGCAGAGCAAGGCAAGCCACTCCTGTGACCTCTGTTCCCCATTCCCTCCTTCTCCTTCCATCTCCCTTCTCCAAGCTGGCAGATGAACAGCTGTTTGGAAACATGATGACTGTAAGTGATTGGGCAAAAATGTAAAGAAATACTTTGCTGGGCAATGTTTATTTGTTTGAGGTGGATTCATTGTGGAAAAAAGTTTGAGAGTTTAGGACTACTTTAAATACTTCATCATTATGGCTAGGGGAGAATTGAGAGTAACGTATAATGGGTGACATGGGGAAAGAGAACTGTGCAATGTCCCAGTTACGGAATAAATTGCCAAATGTAAGGAGAGTGGAGTAGATCAGCTGGTATAGTGTTTAGAGTTCAGGTATGCAGCCTTGCCTGCCCAGGGTGCTCCCTATAGCAGGAATGGAAGGAAGCTAAAAGCTTATCATCTTGATGGCAGCACCAGTCAATTATTCTGATAAAGTCGGTAGCGTCATGATAGAAGATGGGGTTCTAGAAGCCAATGACACCTTTAGTTTTGGGTAAAATCAGTACGACGTTTGTAATACATGGAGCATTATCTGCCCAATTAGATTGTATGAATGCTGTGCAAAAGAGTTTTCAGAAAGCTATGAGGGACTGGAATCAGAAGGGTTTGCATCAGATAGAATAATTTGGGCCGAACAAGTACGTTCACTGTAAATTCATTTTTTTGATTTTACATAAGGAGACAAAATTCAAGTCTAGAATATTAGAGGGGGGTCGTATGGATTTGTGTACCCAAATATGTGATCGTGGCTTGGACCCACTTGAAAACAAAGTATGGCTTCAGTAAACCAATGGGTTCCATTGCAAAGGAATATATTCAGAGCTTCTGATAAATTTGTAAATGTATCTTATTATTAGATAGGAAGTGGAAAGTCTGGAGTTACCCAAGAGCGCGGCAAGTGAGAGAGGGGCTGCCATCTGAAAGGGTTAGGCACAGTGGGAGTCAGGGTGACAGGAGCTAGATAAGGAGTGAAAGGGAGGGGGATTTAAAGTGAAGGTGGGTAGAAGAATAGAAACAGGAGAATAAGGAGGTAATAGAGTGGGTAACTGGGAGTTCTATTTCAACATGCCCAGTAAAGCTTTATGCATTTTTTTAATAATTGTACCTATACCATTAGGCTGTGTTTGAGCTATAAACAAGCTATTCTGGGGTAAAGGTGGCCACAGAGGGATATAGTAAGCAATGATCTTCATGACCCACTATCCTAAAATGAGCCATACACTTGTTTTTTAGTTTTTTAATAGACAATAAACACATTCCTTCTGTTGTATGGTTGCAGTACTGTACCTTGCAAATGAAATTCCAACTCCAGCCAAATATTTTTTTATAGATAGAGTGGAGAAGACAGGATGTTAGGCATAATCTCTCCAATAAGGACACAGGATTAAAACCTGACAAAATGTTTTTCTCGAATTAAGGTAATTTTTGCTTATTGTACTAATGACTACTAACTAAAGCTCTCTAGCAGAAGTGGGGTAGTGCTGGCCTTTTAGGTTGCTTTTTTTTGTTGTATCTAGGGTCCCTCTCCTGCAGATGGCCATAAAAACCCACACTTCAAATGACTTAAGCGGTGTCCCTCAATAACCAACAGATACATGAAAACTTTATTTTCTTAAATGCAAACAAATTAACTGCATTATGAAAAAAAAAAGTTTGGCATGTTTGTGGTCTCTTGCTCACCCTTTGCAGTTCCTGGTTTTTTTCTTCCAGTTGAGCTTCGAGCTGGCGGAGTCTCTCCTCAAAATTTCCATGCCGCTCTTCAGCCTGCAGATAAGGGAAAACGACAACAGATGTATTATCTGGAAATTGATAGTAGTTTTAAATTGCAAATGATAAAGAATGATTACGCAACCATGACTATTAAAAGGCATCAAGAACAGATTCTGCATCAGATGCATGAGTAAACATTTGCAAATTGTTAATTTTTTAATTAATATATTTATATTGCAGTGAAAAAGTAAATACAGAGAAAGAAAGAAGTAAGACTAACTCATGAAGTTCACACCATATGCCCGATGGACTCCCCAGCAATTTATGAATACACAGAACAAATCCCTAGTAAGTACATTATAACCATGTTCAATAAACTTCTGTCAAATCAGCAGATGAGCGGACCTGAGATAACTTTCTCTCTTTGGTCCATTCATCTGCAGATTGACAGCAGGCAGTGGGCAGCAGGTATAGCCAGCCTGCTATTGGCTATTTCAAGTTTCAATAGCAGGCTGGCATGGCTCCACCCACTGGTTTCTGTCAATCAGCAGAGGAGTGGACCTGAGAGAACTCTCTCTCTCCGGTCCGCTCCTCTGCGGGAGCAATAGCCATCCTGCTATTGACTATTCCAAATTGCCATAGCAAATAGCAGGCTGTAATTTTTTTTTCGCCCGCTGCCTGCTGTAAACATTCCATCAGGCAATGAGCAGCTGGTATTTTTTTTTTTTCAGTGGGTGTTGGGATTCCAGGATCCGGACGATTTATGTGATCGATGGTGGATTGGCATGGTGGGACTTTAAAAAAAAAAAAAAAATGAATAGTCAAAAACCGCCTACCGTTTTGATTTACTATTTGTGTTTTCTTGGTGGATGAGTAGGAGTAACAACTACCCCTTACTTATGTATAGAGGGGTGGCATCTGGGTGCCACATTTATCACATTTTAGTATTCGTTCCGAATCATGAGTTGATCCGAATATCATGAAAACAAAATAAAATTAAATCCAAATGGACCCAAAACTAAACATATTTTTTACAGGCTTGCATGTCTAGTGGTGAAGCAGTCTCTCAGGTAGTCCATCGATTCCTGATTCAAACAAATTCAAATATGGGGTCAGATAAGCAGGTGTTGGCTCATGTTATGTGTACGGAATAAAGTACAGAATCCAAGGATTCATTGGTATAATTTTGTTTGATCAAACGCTCCATTCTTATAATTCAGTTCAGACGACCACTCTTGTATTGAAAGGACTGTAGTTGAGCGCCTATGCCTAGGAATCCATGCCCTAACATCACAGATGAAGCATGACAATAAATAGTTTTTTGGTCACCAAAACTTTGCCTAGTGAACTTTGCCTTTGACTTGGGTAGTAGGATTATATGTGCCTCTAAGGTAATGGAGGGAAAACGGCATTCAGGAGAGATAGCTTTAAAGGCTTGTAGAACTGGGGGAGCCAGCAAGTCAGTAATCAATAAAAAAA